TGGGGTCGGGCGCAGGGCACAGGGGCGTGGGTGCTGTGGGCAGTGTGGGGTCGGGGACAGGGGTGAGGGTGCTGTGGGCAGTGTGGGGTCAGGGACAGGGGTGAGGGTGCTGTGGGCAGTGTGGGGTCAGGGACAGGGCTCAGGGGTGAGGGTGCTGCACTGGAGGGCGGCATTTCGGGCATGATGCACAGGGGAGTAAGGACAACGTTTGTAGGGAAAAGGGTGTTGTGCAGTGGGGGTGCAGGGTCAGTGCCTGGGGGACAGGGTGCTGTGCAGAGGGATGTGGGGGACAGAACAGACAGAAAAGCGTGTTGTGCAAAGGAGAGTTGGGGATGGTGCATGTGGGAGCTAGTGCTGCACAAAGTGGAAATGGGAGGCGGCGCATGGGGAGGGAGGGCAGCGTGCTGTGCAAGGTGAGACAGAAGCGGGGTGGGGGAAGGCTGGGATGAATAGGGGGAAAAAAGCTGTGCAAAGTGGGAGAGATACTCTGTGACGGGAGTAAGTGCATGAGGGACTGGAGCTCTGCGTGGTGTGGGGTAGGTGCATGAGAGAAGGTTTAGGGTGTGTGGAAGGACAGGGTGCACAGGGAATGGGGAAGTATATGAAATTATTTGGGGTAGAGGATAGGAGATTTGGGTGTTTGATGAGTAGAGGGAGTATGTGGAGGCACAGAGGCAGTGTGGTGGAAGAGAAGGAGGCTGGAAGTGAAGGGTCAAGAGTCTCCTTCTGTGAATAGGTGGGTTGGGGTCTTTGTGTGAATGCCCTGGAGGATAAGACCTGTGTGCCTGGACAAGGCCACGTGAAGAGGACATGGTGTTTGGGAGGGGAGAGAAGGAAAACGGGTGTGTGGAATGTGTATAAGGGGAAAGAAACATAAGCAAGAAGTATGGGAGGGAGCTTAACAGTGAAACGAGGGGACTGATGGATTCTATGGCTGTGGGGAAGAAAGAGGAGTTGTGGTGGAGAGGGCAGCACTGCGTGTTGGAGTTTGGGAGTTTACTGTAGGCTAGGATTTGTCTGATGCCATTCCTGTCTTCCAACTCAGGGTGCTGGCATTACTTTTTTTATAGCTTATGAGCAGCTCTCGTATCCTTCACTTTTTCCTGTAATGATGCGGAGACTACATTTTTTTTAAGGGCTTGTACTGCTTTTTCTCTCCCACCCAAAATTATGCAGGACAGATGGCATGCAAGCTAGAGCGCATTTTGGGATGCCTTTATCCTGCAAAAAAAAAAATATCAAAGGGAAACGAGAGAACTGCACCATACTGAGGTTCTTTCTTCTTCTGGGTAAATTGCACAGTACTTCCCTAAGTTCCTTTAAGAGACCCTTTCCCTTTTTTGCAAGTCCTGAGATGCTGCTGTTGGCTAATCTTTTTTTGATGGATAATGCATTAATTCTTTGCTCTTGTATCGCTAGTTAGTTATGTGTTACTCTGAAAAAATAATTCTAGCACCCATGAAGACAGATAAGCACAGTGAGGACAGGTGGGTGTGTAAAAGTGAAAATGTAATTGGAGCACATTCTAGCATGCTTATGGTGGCTTTATCTGGCTGGCACAAGGTGTGGCTGCGGGGGCTTCACTGCATGTTCGTATTGCGATCTTCTAGCAAGTCCCAGTGTGTGGTAATGTATGTATTTTGGTGAGACGTTGTTTGTGGAAACAATAGAACAGGACTTTCAAAACAGTGCTGTTTGTAGATTTGCAAAGTTACTGCAAAGATGAGCGGGGGAAATTTGGGTATGAGTGGTTTGTGCTGGTATAATTCTTTATGTTCCAAACCAGATGCTTCTGTTGTGAATAATTTTTTTGCTTGACTTAAACTGAGTGATACACATTTTCAGATCAGGTTGTATTTGTGGTGTAATAATGGTGTCTTCATGATGTATCCTTGCCTATTATACTTGTATGGCACTGATTAAAGTCCTTTCCTGTGTAAGCAAGACAGAAGTTGTATCTCTGAGCGTTGTGCTGGCTGGAGAATTTCCAATGGAATGTGTATTTCTTTTAAGTCAGAAAACATGTACTTGCTGAAAGCAACATTTTCGGGTAAGCTGTAGCTCTCAGTGACTCTTCTGGTTACGTATACAGGTTTCTATTGAAGTGATCAATTTTAAACATCTTTTCCCGTCATCTCTGTAACCTCTTTAGGTCTGTGGCTCTGAGGGATCCCCTGTGTATGAAATGCCTTGGGCTGAGGCTCCTTGGACTGCAGTCTGGTGTTCATGGGCAGCCTTGCTGTGTTGCTGTGTGGAGTACTTGCAGTGTCAGAGGTGCCTGGGCTACTGTTTTTGAGGCCCTGGCTTTTGGTCAGTAGGGCTGAGTGACTCTGAGACCATGGTCTAGGTTTTGCAAGGTGTGAGAGCTGTCAGAGCAGAGCTGGGACTGGAATGGGCTCTTGGTGTCTACGGAGTTCAGAGCTCCTGATTGTGCAACAAGATTCCCCAAACCCTTTTGAGATTCACAAGGGCTTCTACTTGTGTGCTAATATACGTCAAATAGTTACAGATATCTTTATTAATCATTTATTTTCATCTTCATCATAAAGAAGCAAAAGGGAATGGAAAGCACTGGGATACTGTTACTGACTCCTCTTCGGTACATCTAGCAAAACCTTTTATTTTGCCAAGCTGTGTGTTAAAGATTGAAAATCTTGCATTTGTTTGCTGAAGGAGGAAGAGAGTCCTGCACTTCTCTGTATTCATACAAAGCGGCCTGTCCAGATCATGCCAAGTCCTTGCTAGTAGGCCCAGCAACTTCACTACAGAACATGGGAAATTCCTTCTTTTGTTCTCTCAGGGTTGGAAGAAGGTGTGAGATCACGGTTACGTTTTCCCAGGCAGTATTTACATTCAGCTCTCAACGTGCCTAGTGTAGGAAGCCACAGCCTCAACACTGATGCCTTGCACAGAGCAGTTTGGTATGGCCAGTGTTTTCCAGTGCAGGTGTGGAGTCTATTTCTTGCCCTTGGTTTGACAGTTTTAACAAATGAGCATTAGTGTGCTGAGAAAGCATGGGCTCCTGCTTGAGTTATGACTGAAAGATCTCGCTTCGCTACTGTAGCGAGGTTTGGGGAAATGCAGGCTAGTAAGTCTGTGGGGCAAAAGGGCAGAAGCAGCGAAGGACAAAATAGACGAATGCGCAGGTAAATGTCAGGGAAGAATGGTTTTTGGTAAAGTGAAGGCATGCCTTGCATATCTTTTGCAGTTGTCTGAAGAAGTCAGTAAGTGGACAAAGCAGGTTGTTGATTTGCAAAAAGAAGTGGGCAAGATCCTTCACCCGAAGCTTTTAAAGAACCTGAGCTGTCATGAATAAGGGAAAGCCCTTACAGAGCGGAGTAACTACTCAAATTGTAGGAAATGTAGGCTAGAAAGAAATAATAAGTCTCCTGAAGTGAGTTCCATAGAATCTGGGCTGATGATCTGGAAAACAGGTGAATGGTGAGTTAATGAGGTTTGCTGGCAATGCTAGATTATTTGGGGTAGTAAAGGCTGTAGAAGGACCGGTTACTCTTAGTGGCTGGGTAGTAGGATAGCAGACGGGATCGAGAGTTACACTGAAAGTTGGATTGTTCCTTTCTTCCACATGTGGGATGGTAGCATCTGGACTGGCTAGTATAACTTGGATAGCTCTGTAAAAACATTTAGCTCGGTGTGTATTTGCAGTAGAAAAAACAAGGCAGGGAAGGGAATGTTAGAAGTTATCAGGAAAAGAATATGATGGCGTATATATACACTGTTATATAGCCACAGCACCATCTGCAACTTAAATACTGTGTGCAGTTCTGGTGTATTTCTTTCTTTTTCTTCCCCCTCCTCAAGAAAGCCTCTAACAGAACTAGAAAAGATTCAGAGAGGAAGATGTGGTGATCAAGAGGAGGGCTTCTTGAAGAGCTTCTCAGTTAGAATGACTGAATAGACTCAGCCTCTTCAGAGTGGAAAAGACATGATTGAGTGGGACATAGAAGAGGTCTGTAAATACAGTAGAATAACATGGCAAGGATGAGCAATTGTTCAGTATCACATAATGCAAAAACTGGGGAGTGCTAAGAAATCTATCAGCTAGTTTATTTTAAAGGTAGCAAGTAGGAAGTTCAGAAGCATTAGGAGGGGTTTTTGGTTTTGTTCAGAAAACACGTTTAATTAAATTGTGAATCTTCAAGTTGTGGGTGTTAAAAGTTTACATGAGTTAAAAAAATGATTGGGCAAACAGAATAAAAATGTCTCACAGCCATTAAAAAAAATACTATTTCTGGCTCAGGAAATCCTTCAGCCACAGATCTCTAGACTCAGGGAGATTTTACGAGAGAAGTGTTGCAACAAGCTTTCCTCCTATCTATTGTGTTCGCTTGTAGGCATGTATATTAATGGACCTTACTGTTCGGAGGTAGGATACTGGACCTGACAGTCCTTCAGCCTGACTTGGCACAGCTGTTCTTTTGAGTCTTCAGAGGAAGATCGTGTTCTTTGAGCTCTACAGAGATGCTTTTGAGCATTTTGGACATTCTTTTAAAACTGGTCCAAGAATCGTGGGGCTATGGTTTCGCAGCTTAAAGTGTAGGTGTCCCTAGGTATTAATACTGGGGTTTTTCCAGCTTGTGTTTTGGGAAGTGGTGAGCGCAAAACTCCTCTGACTTTGACAGTTATATAGGTATGTTCTCTCTGGGGAACACTTAGCTAATTCTTCTGATCTCCTTGTGAGAAGTTGGTTGTAGAGATATTTACAGTTGTGAGTCTGTGATAAGGTGTCCAGAAATCCAGACAGCAAGGTGAAGATTTATTTAGAGTAAGGTTTATGAAGTTGCCTATACAGTACTATAAGGACCGTGAAATCTTCCCTGATGGTAGCTGGGGCATATAAAAGGAGATGGTGTGCTTATGTAAATACACAAAGAGAGAGCTAGGCCATCCCAGTCCTGATGAGATGCCTTTTGGAGATGGGCATGACCTATCTGTCTCAGCCTAGTAACATCATTGCTGTGGTCTGGATGGACATGGAGGATATGACTGCAAGTTAGCCTAATTCCGCAATTCTTATTAATGCTGTCTGTCTCGGGGAGTGGGAAGTCCTCTCTTCTTGTGACGTACCCATCACTTGCTGGGTCATGAGCTGCTGAGTTCTTTCAGTAGCAAGGGAATACCCCCTTTCATGCTCTGGAGGGGGCTACTGTGTATCTGTGTATTGATCTTCCGAGAGGAAAGTCCTCCCAAAGCACAAGCTAGTGAACGCTTTGATAGGCCCTGTACCGGTCCAGATAGTTATAGTTCTTATTTCTGTTGCAAGTGGTTGCAGTCAGGTAAAATTCCAGCCTCAAAACTTAACCCTAGCCATGTTATTCTCTTGAAGCTTGTGAAGGCCGTGTGTTGAAATTGAGTTTCTGAGCTTGACTGAGGTGGCCCTGGATAAGTCAGATACTAGTGGAAAAGGGTTGTTGTGCACATTTGAGCTCCAAGGAACTCCATTAATGGCACAAAATATGTTTGAGGATCCGAGTCTAGTTTTGAAGCATAACTATCCTTATAATTGATAGCCACTTCATACTGTCTCAAACTAGCCGAAAGAGATTGTTCTCTGTGGCTTCTTATCAAATTTGGGGAGCATTTGAATTAAAATTCCTCATTCTGCTAATTGGAATGAATGCATCTTGGTTTTTTTTTTTTCTTCATACCTAAGTTTTTAACAGACTCCTATCAGTCATAACATTTGAACGCATCCCAGCATGAAGTATAGCAATACAGGGTCTAAGAGTGAGCCACATTTCTCCCTCTCCATTATATTGTAATTGCATCCTGGAAGACGGAGCTCCATTGAGCCCTTTGCCAGTCCGCATCGGTTTTATGGCACCTGCTTTTGCAGAAAGGCAAGTTACAAGTCGTGCATTGTGTTTGAAGGCGGTGAATTCTCTGATCATTCTTTCACTGTGTCTGGGTGGGAGACCCCGTCTTGTAGTAGTTGTTGGGAGAAACTGTTTTCACAAGTATTTTCCCTGAAGCTGACAGGAGAAAAACCATGTATGAAGCTGAAGAGAGTGAGGGGAGGAAAGCTGAACAGAGAGCAAACATTGACAGTCCAGATCTCTCTTCAGGTTTTTGTTTAAAGAAGCTGAGAAAGTAGAAGTCTAGGGCTTCTGACGCTAATCAAAGGAGAAGAAAACAGTCCCATTGAGAAAGCTGATGTGCAGGCAGTGCAGCAGCAAGGTGGAAGATGTAACTAAGAAAATACAGCATGAGAAAATGGTACTGCAAGCTTGTGATCCTGAAACACACTGCATCTGGGGAAGCTCATCTT